TCCCCTGGGGCTTTCCATAGGGTGTGGGGAAGCAATCTTCCCAGAGTAAAGCAAAACACAGCAAGCAGAAACTGTTAACAGGATGGCATTCCACTCTGTAGCTTTTAAGGCCGTTGGCTGTTTTCTCCTCAGCGGCCAACCTTCCCACGCTGCTCACTTGGGCCTGAGAGCCTGTCAGCCTGCCACCTTTCAGGTTTAACCTTTACTGCAGACCTCCAGCTCTCAGGCTTAACCTTTATTGCAGACCTCCGGCTCCCTACACAGTATTTTGTTTTGTATGCCTGAAACTAATAAAACAATAAATAAAACTTTAAAAATATGTTCAAGAAAATGAGGAGACATCCCGGAGTAGAAAAGTTAAACAGTATTACAAGAAATGTTACTAGGACTTCTTTAAGTAGAAGAAGAAGAAAAAAGATAAAAATATGAATAATAAAATGTCAATAAGGGTGACTGGGTGGCTCAGTTGGTTAGAGCGCATGTTCTGAACAACAAGGTTGCCAGTTCGATTCCCACATGGGCCAGTGAGCTGTGCCCTCCGCAACTAGATTGAAGACAACGACTTGAGCTGAGCTGCCGGTGGGCAGCTGGATGGCTCAGTTGGTTAAAGTGCAGGCCCTAACAACAACATTGTTGGTTCAATTCCCGCATGGGATGGTGGGCTGCGCCCCCTGCAACTAGATTGAAAATGGCAATTGGGCTTGGAGCTGAGCTTCGCCCTCCACAACTAGACTGAAGGACAATGACTTGACTTGGAACTGATGGGTCCTGGAAAAAACACACTGTTACCCAATAAAAAAATTTTTTTTAAATGTCAATAACTACATATCTACCAATAATTACTTTACATGTAAATGGATTAAATGCTCCAATAAAAAAATATAGTATGGCTGAAAGGCTAAGAAAACAGACTTAAAGAAAGGAAAAAGATATTTCATGAAAATAGAAATGAAAAAAAAACCCCAAGAAACAAAAAAACCTGGGGTAGCAATACTTATACCACACAAAATATACTTTAAAACAAAGGCTATAACAAGACACAAAGAAAGATCCATTAGTTGCACTTCTGGGCATTTGTCTAAAGAAATCCAGAACAGTGATTTGAAAAGACATATGCATATCATTCATATGTTCATTGCAGCATTATTTACAATAGCGAAGATATGGAAGTGTCCATCAATAGATGAATGGATAAAGAAGGAGTGGTACGCATATACAATGGAATATTATTTAGCCATAAAAAGAATGAAATCTTGCCATCTGCAACAACATAGATGGACCTAGAGGATATTATGCTAAGTGAAATAAGTCAGGCAGAGAAAGACAAAGGCAAAATTATTTCTCTTACATGTGGAATCTAAAGAACAAAATAAATGAAGAAAACAGACCAAACTCATAGATACAGAGAACATATTGAGGGTTGCCAGATAGGAGGAAGGTTGCGGGGATGGGTGAAAAGAGGAAGGTATTAAGAAGTACAAATTGGTAGTTACAAAATAGGCATGGGGATGTAAAGTATAGCATAGGAAATATAGTCAATAATATTGTAATAACTAAATATGGTGTCAGATGGGTACTAGATTTGTTGGGGTGATCACTTTGTAAGATATATAAATGTCTAATCACTATGTTGTATACCTGAAACTAATACATTGTATGTCAACTGTAATTGAAAAATAAAAATTATTTAAAAAAAGAGAACGAGGAGACAGGTCATAGACTTGGAGAAAATATTTCCAAAAGACAAATCTGATAAAAGACTATTATCCAAAATATACAAAGAACTCTTAATACTCAACAATAAGGAAACAACCCAATTAAAAAATGGGCAAAAGACCTGAACAGGCACTTCACCAAAGAAGATATACAGATGGCAATAAGCATATGAAAAGGTGCCCCAGATCACAGGAAATGCAAATTAGAACAATAATGAGATACCACTACACACCTAATTGGATGACTAAAACTTAGAACACTGACAACTATCACTAAGTGATGGTGAGAATGTGGAGAAATAGGCGGGACTGCAAAATGGCACAGCTACTTTGGAAGACAGTTTGGTGGTTTCTCACAAAACTAAACCTACTCTTACCAGACGATGCTGTAACTGCAGTCCTTAGTATATATATACCCAAAGAAGTTGAAAATTTATGTCCACATGAAGACCTGCACACAGATGTTTATAGTAGCTTTATTTATAATTGCCAAAAATTGGAAGGAACTAAGATGTCCTTTAATAGGTGAATGGATAAATAAACTGTGGAACACCCAGACAATGAAATGTTTTTTAGTGCTAAATAGAAATGAGTTCTCAAGCCATGAAAAGACATGGAGGAACCTTAAATAAACATTAGTAAGTGAAAAAAGCTGATTTGAAAAGGCTTCATACTGTATGATTCCAACTATATGATATTCTGGAAAAGGCAAAGCTATGGGGATAGTGGAAAAATCAGTGGTTTTCAGGGGTTGGGTGAAGGATGGGATTTTTAAAGCAGTGAAACTATTCTGTACAATACTACAATGGTGGATACACATCACTACACATTTGTCCAAACCCATAGAATTTCCACCACCAAGAGGAAACCCCATGGTAAACTATGGACTTTGGGTGATTATGTATCAACATAGGTTCATCATTTGTAAGAAACATACCAGTGCGTTTTTAGATATTGCTAGTGGCAGAGGCAAGTTTGTGGGAATTCAGGAACAAGAAACTTTCCTCTGCCCTCAAGGTTCTTTTGGTTGGTCTAATAAATAGACATGAGACTGATAACAAGAGAAAACAACCAAATTTACTTGCATACACACTATATATGGAAACCCCCTCATACATGAGAGTCAGAGACCTCCCACATATATGAGAGGTTCAAAGACAAAAAATGAGGTATACAGTATATGACATTCTGGGCTAAGGATGTAAGGCGCTTGGGATTTCAGAAGGTAATTGCAGGGAGAGCACATGTTCAGTAATCAGTAGTTTGCCTTGCCATATGGGCTCTCTTTGATCTATTATGACCAAGACCCCTAATGCAAATTCCTCTAGATAAAGGGGAGGAGCAGAAGAAGTGTCCTTTGAGCCCCTAATGTCTCTTTTGTCTTTAGCTCAAAATAGTCTGCATATCGTGGAAGCACATCTTGGGGTGAACCCCTATAGAGGGTAGGCATGTATATGTGAACTCATGTATTTTCTGCTCAATTTTGCTGTGAACCTAAACCTATTATAAAAAATGAAGTGTATTTTGAAAAACCCCCTTTGCTTCACCAATTTAATCCCCCACCCGGATAATCTCTGGTAACCTTTTACCTGTTTACTGTCTCTAAACTTAACTTTAAAAAATATTTAAATGAAACTTTTTTTAAAGTTTTGGAGCTTTTATAAATTGATTGGACTTTTACAGACAGTGAGTACTTTCTTTAGAAACAAGTCTTTGACCTTAAAGCAATTACAATTGTTATTAGTTATCATATCTGCAACTTACAGATTTGAGGTGTCTCTTTTTTTTATTGGGGAATTGGGGAGAGGAATAATGTTGGGGAATTTGAGAAGGGGATCATTGTGTTTTTCCAGGACCTATCAGCTCCAAGACTAGTTGTCCTTCAATCTTAGTTGTGGTGGGCGCAAGCTCAGCTCCAAGTCCAATTGCCGCTTTCAATCTAGTTGCTAGGGGAGGGGGTGCATAGTCCACCATCCCATGTGGGAGTCAACCGGCAACCATGTTAAGAGTACGCACTCTCACCAGCTCAGCGGCAGCTCAGCTTGGGCGCAGCTCACTGGCCCATGTGGAATCTAACCGGTGCCCTGTTGTTCAGAGCTCTCGCTCTAACCAACTGAGCCACTCGGCCGGCCGACATCTATCTCTTAAAGTACTAATATGAAATATGAAAATCTTATCATTCATATTCAGTGAAAGAAAAAAAAGGCAAGTAAAGAAAATTCCAGAAAGGCTAGGTCATTTCTCCACCTCCCTCTGCTGGTTTCTATGTAATCCATCCAGGACAGCTGGGGCTGTTTTGAAATCTTTTTAGTTTGCTAATCTCACTATGCCTCCAGTTTCTTGTCACTCCTGGTCAAAATTAAAATACAAACCCTCTCTGGCAGGCTTATTTTCAATTATTATTATTATTTTTACTTTCACTCCCCTGACCCAACCTTCCACTGTTTCCCATTCTATCTGACTCTACCACTAAACCCTCTGGAATATCTGATAAAGAAAATCCCCTAAATTGTTAATCTCTTTGCAGAAAATTCCTCCATTTACTGGGTTTGACTGAATCCTTGATGCTGAGGACTCATCTTCTCTGGCCTTCTTCCCAGTGTTGTTGTTTTTTTCTTTCTTTCCCCTTATTTGACTTATTTCTTCATTGAGAACTCTGGCTAGTCATTCTTCCAGTTCATTTCGGATCCTGTCATTCTCCTAGATGATTTAAGTTGCTACGTTGAGAACTTCCTAATTCCAAGTATCTCATTGCACACATCCTGGTTCCTTCCTGTCCTACCTCCAAGCCTTTTCTACCTGTGAAATCTTTTAACATTTTGACTACTTCCGATCTTCCACCTTCTCTCTCCCTCACACCTGCTCTTCGACTTGCATAACCCCTCACTTTTCCTTCTCAACTCCGTCCTTCCTGTCTGAATTTATTCGTTACTAAACCTGAATTCCTAAGTCATATCTTCAGGCGTCTATTTTTTCTTGCTTTTAAGTCGTCTCAGCTAAGCTCCATTCCTGACCAAATCCAAGTCCGTCCGTCTTCTACACTCACTCTGAGCACACAGCCCGAATGTCGGGGGAAACACATCGAAACGTTGACCAAAATTGACTCAAGATGAGGACTGTGAATTGCATTTTAACTTTTTCATTTTTCTCAATTTTCATACTTTAACAATGAGTTCTTTCCACTTTCATTAAAGCACCGCAAAGCCCACATGCCCGAATTTGACGGCTGTCCACTGCAGGTCTGCTTAAGGAAAACCAGGCGCAATCGCTGCGGCCTCGCGGGGCATGACGGGACGAGGGGCGGGGCGCGGGGGCGCACAGGCAGCACGCGCTGTGCAAGTCCCGGCGTAGGGGTCTGGGTGGGTTGCGGTCAGCGCTCCGCCGCGCCAGCCGTTTTCAGACGCCGGAGGGACAGACGGAGGGGGTGCGTGCTCAGCGGAAGCCATGTTTGTAGCACACAGCATCGCAGCTGACCATAAGGATCTCATCCATGATGTCTCTTTCGATTTCCATGGGCGGCGGATGGCGACCTGCTCCAGCGACCAGAGCGTCAAGGTGCGCGCGGAACCTTCCGGCGAGGCTGAGCCGGGAAGGAGGGGAGTGGGAGCGTGAGCGGAGGGAGCGGCGCGGGGAAAGGGAAATGCTCCTGGCACTGCGTGCTGCCGGCCATGAGGCCTGGAGCCCAAGGGAGGCAGGCAAATCTCCGGCGAGTGGCCTGCTTGGCCATCCTCGTCTCCTTACTGTGGGGTCACAGCTGCCTCGGTGGGGCCGTACTTCCGTGCGCTAGCGTAGAGCAGACGGGTCTGGCGGGCATCTTGGTAACGTGCGCGCTCCCGCTGCCGGGGACGCTGGGAGGCCTCCGAGTTCCTGCATTCGCAGTGTCGGGTCTCTTTAGGCGGGAGTTAGCCCGCTTCCTCTGCCTAGTCCGCATTAGGGGTGTGTTCGTCCTCGGAGTTTTGGCAGTTCTGTTATAAATTAACCACTCTTGTTCAGTGAGAGGACTGGGCCTTGGGTCTTGCAGGACAGTTTGCGGTGTTCTTAAGCTCTGTGTGCTTCATCCCTCACCTGGAGAAATTGTCTCCTTGTGTTCTGATGGGTTTACCTTGTTTCGCGATGAAAGAAAATTACAGATTCATTTACATCCAGTGAAGTTCCTCACTCAAGGAATTGGAGTGTGTGTTTCTTCAAGTTTCTTTATATGTTTGTATACTGCTCAGAAAATCAGAATTTCTATTGTACTAAGATGATATTTGGGATTTCGGAATTTAAGAGATTTAGGATGAAAGCGAGTGTGGAGTATTTGAATTTTCAACGACAAAATACAGTAATACCTCGGTTTGCGGGCATAATTCGTTCCGGAAACAAGCTACTCATATTGCAAGACATCGCTCGTTTACCAAGTTAAAATGTATTACTAGGTTAGTGCAAAAACCGCTATTACCTTTGCACCAGCCTAATAGAAATGTTTGCTCGTCTTGCGGAACACTCGCAAAACCAAGTTACTTGCAATCCAAGGTTTTACTGTAACTGAAAATCTGAAGGACAATATTTACTTCTTCTTTTTCACCATCAAGTTTGATACCAGTGATCCCTCAAAGATAGTTACAACTAGTTTTCCTTTTTGAAAAAGAGTAGTGCTACAAATCCAAAGAATAATAGTGTTTTCAACCTGTAAAAGGTTTGGAATCACTACTTTTTAAAGTTTATTTTTTTATTGTGGGAAACTAACCATTTGAAAGTGTATATTACAGTTGGGTGTTGTTAAGGACGACATTCACATTGTTGTGCCACCATCACCACTAGGCATCTCAGGAACTTTTTCTTCATCCTAAACAGAAATTCTGTACCTAGTAACTCTTTCTTCTCCTGTGCTCCAAGCCCCTCGTCGCTCCAGCGCTTTCATTATAAATTTGACTATTCAGGGTACTTCATATAAATAGAATCATACAGTGCCGGCCGAGTGGCTCAGTTGGTTAAGAGCGCGAACTCTGAGCAACTAAGGGGTTCGATTCCCATATGGGCCAGTGGTCTGCGCCCAAGCTGAGCTGCCAACAGGTGAGAGCACGTTCTCCTAACAGCAAGGTTGCGGGTTCGACTCCCACATGGGATGGTGGGCTATGCCTACTGGCAACTAAGATTGAACAGGGCACCTTGAGCTGAGCGGCTGCGAGCTGCCGATGGGTGACCAGGTGGTGACTGGACTTGGAGCTGAGCTAGCTGCGCCCTCCACAACTAAGATTGAAGGACAACAACTTGACTTTTCCCCTTTCCCAATTCCCAACACTGTTCCCCTTTCCTAATTCCCCAATAAAATCTTTTTGAAATAAATAAATAAATAAATAAATGGAATCATATAATATTTATCCTTTTGTGTCTTGTTTATTTCACTTACTGTGATATTTTCAAGGTTCATTCATATTTGTACCATGTATCAGAATTTCATTTTTAGGATTGAATAATAATTTTGTTGCATGTGTACACCACATTTTGTTTATTCATCCACCCACCTTTTAACTGTTGTGAATAGTGTATTAATTAATGTCTGTTAACTGAATAGTCCATACGTTTTTTTCTCATCTGCTTATCACTGAATTTTTTAGTAGATCTTTCAGTTTGTAGGTTCTGTCTGTTAGAGTACTGTTACAATAAAGATCTTCATTAGTTTAGCTTTTTATATATTTTGAATGATTTCCTTAGGCTCATTCCAGTAGAGATATTAGTGACTATTGTAAAAGCTTTTGAGAATAATTGACAAATTGCCATTTTGAAGGTTCTATTTTACACTGCCAGTGAGAGTGTTGATTTGATGGCATCATTTTCCATGTTGGGCATTATCATTATAATTTTTCTTAAAAAAAATTTTTTTTTTAAAGATTTTTTTAATTGGGGAATTGGGGGAGGGGAGCAGCACTGGGGAATCGGGGAACGGGAACAGACAAGTTGCTGTCCTTTTGTTCTTCAGTCTAGTTGTGGAGGACGTTGCTTCACTGGCCCATGTTGGTATTATCATTGCACTTTTCCTGGGTGAGGCAGATCGGTTGGGGGCCTCCGGACTGCCGCTCACGGTGGCTCGTGGCAACTCACACTGGCTGCCAGCCGTTCACACTGGCTGCCAGCCGTTTACGCTGGCTGCCAGCCACATGGTAGCTTATGGCAGCCCACTGCAGCAGGGGCTGCAGCCTACGCCGTTGCTGGCAACTCACGGCAGCCCAGCTCCAGGTCGAGCTGTTGTTCACCATCTTAGCTGTAGAGGGCAGTGTCACTGGTCCCCATGTGGGATGTGAACCTGGGCCCTGCTGCTCAGGGCTGGCGTCACAAGCCAGCTCTTAACCAACGTGCCGCTTGGCCAGCCCTCTTTAAACATTTTTTATGTGGTAAAATACACATAACATAAAATTGACCATCTTAACCATTTGTAAGTGTACAGTTAAGTGGTATTAGGTACATTCTGCAACCATCACCATCATCTATCTCCAGAACTTTTTCATTTTGTAAAACTGAAACTTGGTATTCTTTCAACAATAACTTCCCATGCCCCCCATCTTCCATTCTGCTTTTTTTCTCTTATGAATATGACTACTCTAGATACCTCATATAAGTGGAATCATACATTTGTCTTTTTTTGTAACTGGGTTATTTAGCTTAACATAGCTTTGAAGTTTGTACATGTTGTAGCATGTGTCAGAATTTACTTTTTAAGGCTAAATATTCCATTATATGTATTGTATATACCACTTTTTACTTATTCATCTGTCCTTGGACTTGGGTTGCTTTTACGTTTTAGCTATTGTGAGCAATGCTGCTATGAATGTTGATATACAAATAGCTCTTTGAGACCCTGCCTTTTATTTGTTGGTTTTTTAATTAAATTTATTGGGGTAGCATTTGTTAATAATATTATATGTTTCAGGTGTACAGTTCTATAATACATCATTTGTATATTGCGTTGTGAGCTCACCACCAAAAGTCTAGTTTCCTTCTGTTACTGTATAATTGGCCCTCTTTTTAAAAATTTTTTTAATTTTTAAATTTTTTTAAAGGTTTTATTGGGGAATTGGAGGAGGGGAACAGACAAGTTGCTGTCCTTTTGTTCTTCAGTCTAGTTGTGGAGGACGTTGCTTCACTGGCCCATGTTGGTATTATTGCACTCTTCCCGGATGAGGCGATCGGTCGCTGGCCTCTTGACGGCGGCTAATGGTGGCTCTTGGCAGTTCACTGCAGCCTACACCGTCGCCGGCGACTCACAGCAGCCCAGCTCTAGGTCGAGCTGTTGTTTACCATCTTAGCTGTAGAGGGCACAGTCTCTGGCCCTCATGTGGTATCCGAACTGGGGCCCTGCTGCTCAGAGCTGGCGTCCCAAGCCAACTCTTAACCAGCGTGCCACTCCACCGGCCCTAATTGGCCCTCTTTATCTTCCCCACCACCTCCTTCCCCACTGGTAACCATTGTACTGTTGTCTGTGTTTGAGTTTGTTTTGTTTGTTCTTTGTTGCTTTCTGTTTTATATCTCACATATTAGTGAAATCCCATGGTTCTTGTCTTTTTCTGTCTGACTTATATCACTTAGCATGACACTCAGGATTCATCCATGTTAACAGAAATGGTAATATTGCATCATTTTTTATGGCTGAGTATTCCATTGTATATGTATACCACATCATCTTTATCTAGTCATTGATCGAAGAGCATTTAGGTTATTTCCATGTTTTGGCTATTGTGAATAATGCTGCAGTGAACATAGGGCTACATATATCTTTACAAATATGTACATATATCTTTATAAATACATGTTTTCAAATTTTTCGTGTGGATACCCAGAAGAGGTATTGCTGGGTCATAAGGTAGTTCTATTCTTAATTTTTTACTGTTTTCCGTAAAGGTTGCACCAATTACATTCCTGCCGGCAGTGTACACGGGTTATCTTTTCTCCATGTCCTCTCTAATACTTATTTCTTGTCTTATTGATAGTAGCCATTCTAACAGATGTGAGGTGATATCTCATTGTCACTTTTTTTTTTTTAAAGATTTTTATTGGGGAATTGGGGGGATGGGAACAGTGCTGGGGAATTGGGGAAAGGGGAACAGACAAGTTGCTGTCGTTTTGTTCTTCAGTCTAGTTGTGGAGGACGTTGCTTCACTGGCCCAAGTTGGCACCATCATGGCGCTCTTCCCGGGTGAGGCAGATCAGTCACCGGCTTCTGGACGGCTGCTCACTGCGGCTGCTGGCCGCTCACGCTGGCTGCTGGCTACATACGGTAGCCCGTGGCAACCCACTGCCACAGGGGCTGCAGCCTACGCCGGCGACTCACAGCAGCCCAGCTCCAGGTTGAGCTGTTGTTCAGCATCTTAGCTGTAGAGGGCAGTGTCACTGGCTCTCATATGTGGGATCCGAACCGGGACCCTCTGGCATCCCAAGCCAGTTCTTAACCATCGCGCCACTCGGCCGGCCCTCATTGTCATTTTGATTTGCATTTCCCTTATAGCTCGTGAAATTGAGCATCTTTTCATATATCTGCTGGCCGTTTGTATGTCTTCTTGGGAAAAGTATCTGTTCAGGTCCTCTGCCCATTTTTTTTTATTGGATTGTTTGTTGTTTTCTTTTTTGTTTTTGAGTTGTATAAGGTCTTATTATATATTTTGGATATTAGCTCCTTATCAGAGGTATTGTTTGCAAATATCTTCTCCCATTCAGTTGGTTGTCTTTTTGTTTTATTGATGGTTTCTTTTGCTGTGCAGAAGCTTTTTAGTTTGATGTAGTCCTGTTGATATTTTGTTTTTACTTCCCTTGCTTTGGGGTCAAGTTCACAAAAAACCGTCTGAGACCAAGGTCCATAAGTTTAGTACCTATGTTTTCTTCTATGTATTTTATTTCAGGGCTTATATTCAAGTCTTTTAATTTATTTTGAGTTAATTTTTATGTATGGTGTCAGCACTCTAGTTACATACACTTGCATGTGGCTTTCCAATTTTCCCAACACCACTCATTGAAGAGACTTTCTTTTTTCCATTGGATGGTTTGGATCCTTTGTTGAAAATTAGTTGCCTGTATATGTGTGGGTTTATTTCTGGGCTCAATTCTGTTCTGTTGGTCTGTGTGTTTATTTTTCTGCCAATACCATACTATTTTGATTATTGTAGCTTTGTAGTATAATTTGAAGTCAGGTAGTGTGATACCTCTGGCTTTTTTTTTGCCCTCAGGATTGCTTTGGCTATCCAGGATCTTTCATGGAAGACATGTTTGTGTGTTGAGCAGGGGATCCTTTGATGAATTGTAGTTGTCCGACTTGTAACTTCAAGGTCAGAGACCAAGAGTTCTCATTCTGCCATGATGCTGATGTCACTATGAGACCCTGCATTTAACTCTTTTGGGTGTATACCCAGAAGTAGAATTGCTGGATCATATGGTAATTCTGTTCTTAGTGTTTTGATAAACCATACTGTTTATCATTACATTTTTTAAATAGGCTACAATGTCATCTTGTTATTGTAATCTATATTTTTTGTTGGTAGTAAGGTTTAATGTTTTGCTTTTGTTTGTTACATATACAAGTGATCCTCATTATGTGCAGATTTTGTATTTGTGAGTTTTCCTACTCTAAAATTTATTTATAACCTGGAAATCCTCACAGTTATTTGCTGGCATGAGGAGAGTGGTAAAAAAATTGGAGTTGCCTAATGTGCACGTTCCCAGCTGAATTCGAACTGGGTGACACACTGCCTTTTTTTGTATTTTGGCTATTATACTATAAACAAGTGTCCTTTTCATTGTCTGTTGCCACATTTTTCACGTTTTTGTTGGTGATTTCACTATCTAAAATGATGCCTGAGTGTGGAGCTAAGGTACTGTCTAGTGTTCCTAAGCACAAGAAGGCTGTGATGTGCTCTAGGGTGAAAATGTGTATTGAGGAAGCTTCATTCAGGCATGAGTTATAGTGCTTTTGGCTGTGAGTTCAGTGTTAATGAATCAGTAATATATATGAAGTACAGTGTTTTAAAACAGATACACAAAGAAAACGAGGTTATGTATTGATTTGTTGACAAATACGTTGTGACCAGAGGCTCCTATGACTCTCACCTTGTACTTCCCCTTGGAGCAGTGGTTTAGTATTCACTAATTCAGTGTTCAGAGCAACATAGGGAACATAGCTACCTTGAATAACAAGACTTAACTGTAATTGTAATTGTCTATATTACCTAGTAGAGCAGATTCCTTGTCCCCTCAGTGCTTAGCCCAGTGCCTGACACATGCAATGTTCTCTCTCAATAAATATTTCATTGAATGAATGAATGTTTACTTACTGATTGTATTCTTTTGTGAATTCATGTTCATCTTCTTTGCTCTAATATTGATTCAGTCTTAATGTTTTTCATATTAATTTTTAGGGATTCTTTAAAGTATCTTTTAAATTTTTTTATAGGTCTGGGATAAAAGTGAAAGTGGAGATTGGCATTGTACTGCTAGCTGGAAGGTTAGTATTTATGTTTACAGTGATTTTTAAAAATTGAATTGTTTACTGTTTATTTGGTAGTATCAGTGACTTGGTGTTCAGCTTTGAGAGAATTAGAAAATTTATACTTGTTTTCCTAAAAAGGTATTTTACATTTTTCACTATTAAAATAACAGAAATACAGTTCAGAAAATTTGAGAGTAAGAAAATTTGTAATTCCATAGCATTCTAACATAACTTTTTAATATTTTAGTATTTCTTTTTTTTATTCGCATATTTTTAATAGCTGTGATGTTTCATACATAGTTTTATTTCTTTTTTAAAAAACAGCTTTACTTAGGTAGACTTACACATACCTTAAGAGTCATCAATTTTAAATGTACAGTTCAGTGAGTTTTAGTATATTTATACAGTTGTGCAACCATCACCACAATTTCATTTTAGAATAATTCCATCAACTCTGAAAATGCCCTTGTGCCTGTTTGGGGTCATTGCCCATTTCCCTCCCAATCTGCAACCAACTGTTGAACTGTTTGCCTGTATATTTTTACCTTCTTTTAGATATTTCATATAAACGGAATTCTACAACATGTAGTTCTTTGTGTATGGTTACTTTCCCATTGCATATTTTTGAGGTTCCTCCATGTTGTGGGATGTGTCAGTAGTTCGATTCTTCATCATGCTGAGGAGTATTCCATTGTGTAGAAAAACTCATGCTTCATTCACCAGTTGATGGACATTTTAATTATTTTTAGTTTTTGCCAATTATGAATAATGCTGTTAAGAACATGTTGTACAAATCTGTGTGGATGGACATACATTTTATTTCTCTTAGGTAGAAACTGAGAAGTAAAATTGCCGAGTTGTACATGTTTTAACTTTCTAAGAAACTGCCAAATTTCCAAAGTGCCTGTACCATTTTATATTCCCACCAAGAAATATATATGAGGGTTCCAATTTCTCTACAGCCTCCTATACACTTGACATTTTCTCTCTTTTTTGATTATAGCCATCTTAGTAGGTGTGAAGTGGTATCTCATTGGGCTTTGATTTGTGTGCCCTTAATTTTTAAAAATATTTATTATATTTTCACGTGTTTATTCATCATTCATGTATCTTCTTTTTTGAAGTGTCTATCCAAATCTTTTGCCCTCTCTTTTTTTTAAAATTGAGGTGACATTCACACAACATAAAATTAATCATTTTAAAGTAAACATTTCAGTGGCATTTACCCCATTGACAGTGTTGCACAGCTACCACCTCTTATCTAGTTCCAAAACTTTTTTATCATTCCAAAAGGAAGCCCCTATTTCTAAAGTTTTAACAAAATATTTTGTAAATACTTTGGTGTGTTTTCAAAGGCTCTTTAAAAACATAAATGTAGCAATAAAACATGAGTATACCAATAAATGTACAGTGTTTTGCTTTATTTAAATTGTCTCTATTTTGATGAACATCTTTGTGTGATCCTTATTCATTAGATTGCACTTCACTGGGAATCTGACATTTAATAAAATCTCACGCCTTAATACATTTTAAAAAATCGTTTGTATAAATAAGAATTAAAGGTGAAACAAGAAAAAGACTGGACAAAACAAAGTGTAAAAAATAAGGGTGTAAAGTTTACCTCTGGATGATGACATTGTTACCATGTAGAAATTAACGGACTATGAAAATATTCTGAGATAGTTGAGTGTAAAAGTGTTAGATAGGCAGAAGCATGAAACAAATTTTGTAAACATAATTGGTGGACTGATGCTTGTTGTCATAGGGTATTTTTTACTGGAAAGCACAAGTGAAATTCTGTTGATGTGACATTTTTTAAGACCTTTCTGTCCTTTTTTTTTTTTGTCAATATGAAGAGTGGAAGAATAGTGATTTGACATTTTTCGTATCTAAAGATACTGCTACTGAGGTTTAAATTATTTTTTTAGACTACAGGGATTTGGGCTTCTCCATATTTGATCACCCATTGCCTCTTCCTAGAATAGTCTTGTCAGGATAGATATCAGAATGATGTAAGAATTTTGTTTGTACAGTTCTGTATACTGTTAGGCTTTTGAAGCAAATTTGATCAGTCTTATTTATTTTACTAGGTGGATGTTTCCTGTAGAGATAATTTGCAAGTAAAAAAATTAATGGACTGGTATAATCTGTTTAAAAGCTTGGTCTGGCTAAACTCTGAAACAGGTCTCTTAACTATTAGCATTGGAAGACATCAGCTTTCTCCAGCTAGATTTTTCTTTATTTGTAAAATGTTAGAAGAACTTGATTCCAGAAGGGCTCCGATAATAAATATAGTATATGTTTAAGTTAAAAAATTCTAGAGTTTAACTTTTTATTTAAATGTTAAATTGAATAGTTTTCTCCTGTTACTGAAGTAAAAATATGTGTAATTCTATTTCAAGAGAAATCTTATATGTGTGAAATATGAGTAAACTTAGTTGTTTTGTCTTTTTGTTTATAATTCTTCAGACGCATAGTGGATCTGTGTGGCGTGTGACATGGGCCCATCCTGAATTTGGACAGGTTTTGGCTTCCTGTTCTTTTGACCGAACGGCTGCTGTATGGGAAGAAATAGTAGGAGAATCAAATGATAAACTGCGAGGGCAGAGTCATTGGGTGAGATATTTGTTCATATTTGGGAAGTTGGGTAGAGGGGTGGCATGAGCCTCCAAGGAGCATTAGTCTTTTCAATAAATCTTCAGGCACTTGGTAAGGTGTTACTACTCCTTTCCATGTTTACCAGTCCCATTTTTCTTTTGTCCATATTTTTCTCCTACTTGTTTATTTAATTTTGTCTTGGGCCTGAAATGATACTCAGGATTACCCATGACATTAATTATCTTTCATGGCGAATCCAGTGTATTTGCTTTTTTGTAGTGCACTCTAAAATTGTTTAAAAACTGTTTTTTCTTTTTTGTGGTTACCTTTTTTTGCTTACAAAATACGCTCTTCTTTATCTGCTTCTGCTTTAATTCTAGCTCTTCTCTGATTGAGTGTTTGAATTTAGGCAAGAGCATAAAGTGTTCGCTGCTCAAGTTCCTCGTCTATCAAGTGAGAGGATTGAACTATTGATAGATTACCTTTAAGATCCATTCTGGTGTTTTCCTTTTTCTCCTCTTTATTTTTCTTAATAAATATTCAGCCACAGGTATAAAATTCAAAAGGTACAGACAAGTGTATGCAGTGAGAACATCCTCTTCTGTGGCCACTCAGTTCTCTTCCTAGAGACAACCACTACTATAGGTTTTTTAGTGTATCCTTTTGGATATACATGTATTCCATGTCTCTGTAAGGACCTAGATACAGTGTTTTCTTCTCTATATCTACTAGTCCTCCCCACCCCCCCACACACTAATTCTAATATGCTATCAATACTGTTTCTTTTTTCTGTTGCATTTTAAAATTGTAAAATATACATAACATGATATTTATAATTTTAACTAAGTGTACAATTTAGTGGAATTAATTACATTCACAATGTGTATACAATGCTATGCGATATCTATACCAAAACTTTTCATCATTCATGAACTCTGTACCATTGAATAGTACCTCTTTCTTTCCCTTTCCCCCAGCCCCTGGTAACCTCTGTTCTACTTTCTGTCCCTGAATTTGACTACTCTCTGTACCTCATATAAATGAATTTATACAATATTTGTCTGTCAGTGTCTTGCTTGTTTTACTGAGCAGAATTTTTCAGGGTCCATCCATGTTGTAGCATATATCAACTTCGTTCTTTTCATGGCTGAATAATATTCCATTGTGTGTATATACACATTTTGTTTATTCATCTGTGGATGGACAAGCTGTGTTGTTTTCCACCTTTTAGCTATTGTATATAATGTTACGGTGAACACTGGTATATAGATACCTATTTGAGACCTTGCATTTAATTATTTTGGATATATGCCTAGGAGTGGAATTGATGGATCATATAGTAGTTTTATGTTTAACTTCTTGAGAAACTGCTAAACAGTTTTCCACAGTGGCTGCACCGTTTTCCATTCCCACCAGCAATGCATGAGGATTCCAGTTCCATGGTTCCTGACTCATGGTTCCCAAAACCCTTGGCATTTCTTAAGTGTTGAGAGAGATAAAGGTGTTTTTTGTTATGTTAATGTGACTTTTATAAAGCACCTTTGATGGGTGCTGGTTACTAGTGGAGCCTACCTTCAGTTAGATGCAGCGGTTCTCAACCTTCCTAATGCCGCGACCCCTTAATACAGTTCCTCATGTTGTGACCCCCAACCATAAAATTAATTTTGTTGCTACTCTATAACTGTAATTTTGCTACTGTTATGAATCGTAATGTAAATATCTTTTTTTCCGATGGTCTTAGGCGACCCCTGTGAAAGGGTCGTTCGACCCCCAAAGGGGTCACGACCCACAGGTTGAGAACCGCTGAAGAGGGTTGGAACTTTCAGTCCCACCCAGCAACCTCCAGGGAGAGGTGAGGGGCCAGTTAATCAGTCATCCCTTTGTAAGGAAGCCTTCTTAAAACCCAAGAGGATGAGGTTCGGAGAGCTTCTAGGTTGGTGAACACGTTGAGATTTGGGGAGATCGATGTTCCTGGAGAGAGCTTGGAAACCCTGTGCCCTTTCCCCATATCTTGTATCTCTTCCACCTGGCTGTTCCTGAATTACATCCTTTTATAATAAGTTAGTAATCTAGTGAATAAAATGCTTTGCTGAGTTCTGTGAGCTGCTTTAGCAAATTAATTGAACCTGAAGAGTAGCTTGGGCACCTCTGATTATAGGTAATCAGTCAGAAGCACAGGTAACCTAGAATTGCTTCTGGCATCTGAAGTTGTGAGTGGGTGGGGGTAGTATCGTAGGACTGAGCCCCTTAGCCTGTGGAATCTGGGTAGATAGTGTCAGAATTTAGTTGAATCCTCCTCAGAACTGTTGGTATCCAGGAATTGTTTGTTAGTGTGGGGGAACCCTTCCATTGGAATTGTTACCAGAACCCTTCCACTACTTTAGGGAAATGTCTATTCAAGTCCTTTGCCCATTTTTTAATTGGGGTGTTTGTTTTTTGTTGTTGAGTTTTAGGAGTTCTTTATATATTCTGGATATTAATTCCTTATCAGATATATGATTTATAGATACCTTCTCTCATGCTGAGTTGCCTTTTTACTCTCTTTTTTTTTTCTTTTTAAATTTTTTTATTGGGAAATTGGGGGAAGGGGAACAGACAAGTTGCTGTCCTTTTGTTCTTCAGTCTAGTTGTGGAGGACGTTGCTTCACTGGCCCAAGTTGGCACCATCATTGCGCTCTTCCCGGGCAAGGCAGATGAGTTGCGAGCTTCTGGACGGCCGCTCACTGCGGCTGCTGGCCACACACGGTAGCCCATTGCAACCCACTGCAGCGGGGGTTGCAGCCTATGCCATCGCTGGCGACTCATGGCAGCCCAGCTCCAGGTTGAGCTGTTGTTCAGCATCTTAGCTGTAGAGGGCAGTGTCACTGGTCCTCATATGTGGGATCCAAACTGGGGCCCTCTGGCATCCCAAGCCAGCTCTTAACCTACGTCCCACTCGGCTGGCCCACCTGTTTTACTCTCTTGATAGTGTCCTTTGATAAACAAAATCTTGAATTTTTTTTTGAAGATTTTATTGGGGAATCGGGGAAGGGGAACAGTGTTGGGGAATTGGGGAAGGGGAATAGCCAAGTTGTTGTCTTTCAGTCTTAGTTGTGGGGGGGCGCAGCTAGCTCAGCTCCAAGTCCAGTCGCCATCCAGCTGCCCATTGGCTCTGTTCAATCTTAGTTGTGGGTGTGCATAGCCCACCATCCCATGCAGGAGTCCAGCCAGCAACCTTGTTGTTAGGAGCATGTGCTCTCACCAGGTGAGCCATCCGGCCACCCATTGGCAGCTCAGCGCAGGCACAGCTTACTGGCCCATGTGGGAATTGAACCAGCGACTCTGTTGCTCAGAGCTCGCACTCTTAACGAACTGAACTGCTTGGCGGGCCATTGAAATTTTCATGAAGTCTAATTATCTGTTTTCTGTTTTGGGTGTCATATTCAAGAAATCATTGCGAAGTCCATATGTCATGAAGACTTTCCCCAAAGTTTTCTTCTAAGAGTTATATTAAGAGTTTTAGCTCCTACATTTAGATCTTTTATTCATTTTGAGTTAATTTTTGTATGTGGTCTAAGGTAAGTGTACAATCATTATTTTGCACTTTATATCCAGTTTTCTTAGCACCTTTTATTGAAAAGCCTGTCCTTTTCCCATTGAATGGCCTTGCTACCCTCATTGAAAATCCCTTGACCATATATGGAGGGTTTATCGACTCTATTCTATTCTGTTGGTTTTTATATTTCTCCCTATGCCAATACTATACTTTTAAAATTACTGTAGGTTTGTAGCTTGCATGATATTCATATTGTTTTACAACTCTTTTTTTAATGATGGCAGGGGTTGGTCTCATTGCCTATGCACTGGAGCCTCCCTAAGCAAACAACTGCTTAAGAAGAAGAGAGGAGGGAAATTTATAGAAGTCATTTTTCTAGCAGTCTGAGATGAATCAGTTAGTATACTATTGGTTGGGTTTAGGAGTGGTGACATGTAAAGGGTTTTTATTCGATCTTAAAGATATATTTATACTTAGTTAAATTAATTTTCATTAATACATTTAATATTTAAACATTTGTGTTGGTATTAATTATTCAGTGGTGTTTGTAGACAAAAATTTGCAAAGATTTTATCTTTGAAGTTTATGTAATTTTTTTTTT